TATAAAATAATATACTAATAATAATAATAAATAATATCTAAAAATAACTAATAATAAAATAAAATAAAATAATCGTTTTATAACAATATATTAAATATGATAATAGAAGAAGTACAAGAAAAAAATAAAGAAGTATGAATATTGTTATAAGATATAAAAAAGATATTTAACTTAGTTCTACTAAAAAGTTTAGAATGAGGTTTCAAAAGAGTTAAAATACTACAAAAAACAATATTGAAATAAATAAATTCAACTTAAAATTTATAATAATAAATATAAAAGCTAAAGAAATAAAAAAAAAATCATTTTTGTTTATAGCAAAATAATAAAAAAATCTAAAAATAAGATTATAAGATCATTAGAAATTTGGCTAAACTGTAAGATGAAAGAAGCATTAGTTTATAAAAAAATAAAAGAAATAATTAGTCAAACAGTTAAAGATCTAAAATATTAAAAAATAACAATGAGCCAAATTGCATATATAAATAATACAGTAATAATTCCCAAGTCAGAATATCTCTTATAACTAACAAAAATGTCAGAGAAGATGATTAATAAAATATATCAACTATTAGTATATTTGACTAAACATAAATGTAACATGATGAAAACATTGAACAATTGTACAATTAAATATAAAGACCTAGAAAATTGCAAATTACTAAGTTAAAAAATAATGACAAAGCAAATAAGTAATCTTTTTTTAAGATTTAATAGATATAATAGTCTGAATAAATTAACAAAACTTAGAATTGCTCAAGAATACCAAAAAACAGGTTTAACAAAAAACATTTTGAACATAAAATAAAATTAAAAGTAAATAAGTTTTGAAAAAATAATTTAATCTATTAAATAATAACTAAAGCAAAAGAAATAAGAATATGCATTAAAACAGAAAAATGTTTGTAAAAAGTTTATAGACATAACAAAAAAATAAAAAACATGTTGAAGACAAAAACATGAATAACAAGTAGTAGTATAATAAACAAATAGGATTATTATATTTAAACTAGCTTGTAGATACAAAAGATAATATCTAATTATATAAAAATAACTTAAGAATCTTAAAAGACTGTTATATAAAAAAAAACTAAAATAGTTTAGCAAAATATTAACAAAAACTTGATTTAAGATATATATTATTAATATCTAAATTAAAAAGTTAATAATAATAATAGATTTTAGGATGTGGCGACCTAGTGAAGTGAATAGGTTGTCAACTTTCAAGTGGCAGGTTTAGAGTTCAAATCTCAGTGACAATAAAAATTTGCAATTCTTTCTATATTACAATTAACTGTCTTCTGTAATTGATTGGAATAAGATATTTGTAACCTGTGTTATACTAGTATAATTGAAAGGTCTAGGTATTTGTGCAATATTATACAAAGGAACACAAACTGGTACCAAATAGTGTGAACTTAAGATAAGTTCTTAGGTTGTGTAAATTACAGGAACCAGGTAAGAAGATAAAAGCCTACTTAGAAAACCTAAGTAGAAAGGTAATCTGAATCTTTAACAGTGTTATTATAAAGACTAGATCTATAAAATGAAACTAGAACTTGTGAAACTAGGAAAAAGCCAACCTTTGAGAAGGGGTTGAATGAAACCAACTAGGCTGCTAAGATTTATTCTGGAAGAAAAAGTTATATGCTAGTAAACATATAAATCAGAAATGTATAGTTACAATCTACCTTTCTAGACTATCTGATTTGGAAGCTTAATAAAACTTGAATTGAATATCAAAGTAGTAAGAATATGTTGTGAAGTCAGTACTGAGGTTGGGATGAACTCTACAAGGGCATAGTAATTTAATAGTATGCCCTAACCACCAATGTTGGTTTTAATTATAGTGATATCAGGTTAGCTGTAAGAATAAAATACAAAAAATTCTAGAAGGTTTAGTACAAGATTAAAAGTTCCTTATATGAGTGAACTGCTTTAAAGACTTAGTAATTATGACATATTTTCATTGGCATCAGTCAGGGTTATTGGTAGGCAAAGGTAGATGAATAAATACAAAAACTAGAATGGTTAAATAAGAAACTTACAGGCAGGTTTCAGGTATGGCAATTAGTGTAGAATCTTCAGGCGGACTACTTAAATTAGACAATAACTAAAGTTGTATAAGTGACTAGTTGTATACTCTTTCTATAATTACTTTCTATAGTTGTAATGCAACTATTAGTCAAATATATTATCAATAAAATCCTGGATTGCAAGTACTCATCTTAATATTTAAATAATAATAATAATAATAATAATAAATTTTTATTAATTTAAAACTTGTTATAGATAAATAATAAAAAATATAAGAAACTAAAATTAATTAAAAATAATAAAATTAAAATGTATTAAGAGTTAATACAAATAGTAAAGTTCATATTTTGTTACTAATTATAATAATTTAATTATAATCTTATTTATAATATTAAAAACTTTAATTACAAATATTAATTTTATGTTATAGTATATAAAATATATAACAAAATAATGTTAATATTATTAAAAATAATTAGCAATTTGTGTTAAGTTAACATAATCTAAAATTAGATAGTAAAGTATTTTTGTAAATATATAACAAAGTTTTTTATTTAATATAATTAAATAAAAATTAATATTTAGTATTAAGTTTATATATTATAAAAACTTTTAAAACTTAATAAACTGCAAATATTTAATTATTTTTCAAATTTTATCTTATACAACTTTTGTATATTATATATGTACTTTGTATATATTTTATGCACTTTTTGTATACATAATTGTATATTTATTTGTATAATTATACATAATTGTATATATATTTGTATAATTATGTATAATTATGTATAATTATGTAAGAGATGTATAAAACATGCACAAGGTATATAAAAGATGCAAAAGATATATATAATTTTTAAAAAATATTTGAATATATAAATATAATAAATATACTTTACACAATTTTTTTGTTATTTTTAACTATTAAAAAACTGCAATAAACCAAAATTTTATTAAATTGATTAAATAATTGATAAAATATTTTAATTTAAAAATTAAAAAGTTTTATTAAAAATAATTTGTTTTTTTCTATTAAACTTCTTTCATATAATAAATAAAATTATAGAATTTTAATATCATTTAAACTAATTTATTACGTATATAATACGCAAAATTGGTCAACATATTATAAACAAACTAAAGTGCGTCAATTTAGACACTGAAATGCATTAAAAATATTTTACCTATTTTTTAAAATAGAGACTCAGTGATTAGAATTGCCACCATTCGATTCGTCTCAATAAGACGAATTGATTGGTACTTGATATTGTTTAATCAATCACGTGTTATCAACGGTAATATGAAATTAGACATATGCACCCTATAGTAATATATAATATTAGATTTATAATTAATTATTTGATATTTCAAAATAAAAGGTTACATTTCTAGTTTACAAATTTATTAGACTATTTTATAATACAGTAATATTTTTGTATAATTATTACTAATATATATATATATATATATATTTGTAATTATATATTTAATAACAATTAAATTAAATAAATAAATAACCAAATATTTCAAAGATATGTATTACAATAAAAAACATATTTTAACAATTTTAGATAACTGTATAAATGCTTTATATAAATCAATATAGTATTATATAAATCAATACAGTATTAAATAAATAATTAAATTACAATAACATTAAATATAATAATATATTATATATATCGATTTGGTGTAAGCTTTTAATACGTTACAACAAGGATTGTTTTTACAATAAATTGTATATAGTAACGAATAAATATGCAGTATATATTATAGATTATATATTGTGTAAAGCAATTGTATATAGACATAAACGCCTTATATGTAAGTTACGTATGCATATTTAAAAGGCAATTATGGGCCAGAAGGCATGATTATATAAAGAGGGACAAAAAACAATTAGTATCTGGACATTTTGCAATACGTGTAAATTTGTTTAAACTAAATACAATAGTAAATTTTGTGACAAACTAACAATTGGTGCACAACATTAACCATTTAACACGTATATCAATATGTGTATATTGGACAATGAGCAAATAAAAATCTTATCGGTTGACAGAATTAAAAAATTTGTTTATGAATGTTATTTGAAATAAATTTTTTTTTTATTCATAATTATTCATCAAAATTCATATTATTGATGTATAAAATAAAGTGTAAGATAATATAGTCGCGGACAAACTCGGAACATTCAGTAATAGAAAGAAATGAATCCTAATTTGTTTGTGCATTGGATTTTTTTTCATTTAGTCAAATAACAGCAATTACAGTATAAATTACGATTTATTTGAATCATACATAAATAAGTTGGTTGCAATTGGCAAGAATAAAAACACCGAATTTTAATAAATAAAAATATATGCTTTTATTTCAATGATTACTTAACTATCACAGCATACTTGTAGTAGGGACGTGACATGATCTTCGAATATATTGGTATTAAATAGCATATTCGCGTTTATATAATGCTAAGACTTAAAAGATTGCAAGTGTCCAAATTAGATTTCATTAAAGTCGCCATCATACATACCGTAATTCATTGCCATATGGACACTGTTAGACTAGTGATATACTTATAACCAAATAACATATACACATATACACATATAAACATATACATATACACATATAACATATACACATATTGTATATAAAGATTGATTTAAGGAGCAACATACTGTAATTGCTAACGTAGCAAGAAAAGAAAAGGTATAAAAAAAATTTTTTTTTTTTTTGGTTTATCTCGGAAAATATTTTCCTCGAGAAAAAAAAAATATATATTCAAAATTTAATAAAAATTCTTTTATGACGATTTTTTTTGCAAAATTAAAATTTTATAAAATAAATAAATCAATAATCATTTCTTTTATCCTTTGACTTGAATAACATGTCTCAACAAAACTTAAACAATTACAATTATTATTATGATTTAAACCAACAAACATATCCTTCAAATACTTATTCTACGTTTATTCCAACAGAAACAAATTTTACTCAACAATCTCTTTACGCGTCAAATTATCCAATTTATAATGATCATGACCATATTTCTATGGAACGTTTTGGGAATACACTTTTAGATGATGGAGTAATTTCCATAAGTACAAATTATTTGAACAATTCAAATCCACCAATTCAAAAGTTAATTGGAACTTCAAATTTTGCACAAATTAATGATAATTATTGTTCGTGCGATAAATTCATACCATGTGAAAAATTTGAAAGTGATCAAATAGAAAATTCAATACCTGAGTCATATTCACAAACTTATGAACAAAATGAGGGAATACCATCACCGTGTAGTTCATTAATCCTTTACCAATCTCAGGACAATCCAATCTTTTCAACACCTTTAACTACTATTATTCATCAACAACCTATAAATCCAATCGAATCTCTAACAGAAGAACAAATCAACGATCATATTTCTTCGAACTACTCTATCAAAAAAACTTCTACTATGATAATTCGATCAGAAACGTCACCCGAAACCCTAAAAAAATATGAGACGTGCGAAGAATATGTGATATACTATGAAAAACGTTGTCAAGTTCTTGAAGATGGAGAAATAGAAACTTTAGAAAATCAAGTTATTAGAATGGATAAAAGAGTGAAAGTTGAAAATTTGAATATTAATAGTTTGAAGTATTGAAATTTTGAGAATAAATGTATAATATTAACACTAATAATCATTAAATTCCTTTACATATGATATATGTATTTTTTTGGACTGTATTTCTTATTGGAAATCTGTTATAAAAAAAAAAACTTATTTTCATTGATATGAAAAAAGTCGCGTTTTTTTTTAAAAGATCGCAAGAATTATAACATTTTATGAATCTTTATGCTTGCATATTTTTCATTAATAAATTTTAGTCAAATGACAATATCGACAATATCGACAATATCTTTGGTTATACACTACTTGTAATATCTAAATTCCAAAGAAATGTATAAATTTCGACAAAGTCGCGAAATGGCGTTTTCTTATTAATGTATATGTACATACGTATGTATCGTACGTTATTATTAGTATCATGTGTGTAACTAAAGCTATATAAAGATCAAATGTCAAGCTTTTTTTTTTTTAACTATCACATGATATTTATTAAATTGACATTTCTAAAGTATTTTTTGAAGTATTTTACACATTGAGTAGTCTAGAGATTGTATTCGTGGAGAATGGTTCTACCCAAGTATTATTAAATTAATCGAGTTGCCAGGGTAATTTACTGTAGACATATAATAATTCCTACCTGGTTACAATATAGGTATAATCAATCCCTAAAGTAGTTATATAGAATTCAATTCCGATTGGCATCATTCATATTAGTTCTGAACTCTATTTCTTTAATCTGATCAAAAGTTATTTAATAGAATCTAAGAATGCTCTTCGAGTTCGTCGATATGCAAAGAGAAAGTCGCGATTATTTTGGAAAAATTGGTAGTGCCAATGTTTCAAATCCAATCCAAATCCAATCCAAACCCATAAGCCAGCCACTTCGTATGATTTTCTTAAAGTTAAATTTACTGCTCTTTTCGACGTATGTTATACACGATTTCTTCCTAGTTTAGTAGTAACGCAATAATTTTGGTAATTTTGTATAACATAAACAATCTTTGTCATATGACTTTATTTAAATCTATGAAACAGATTCGGGTCATACCGGTTTCTTTAACATCTCTAATCATGTTTTCAAACTTAAAGGAAAATCGTATATATTCGTGATAAATCTATTTTATATACCAAAAATTAAAATACTTTGATTAATAAAGTGTACTGAAATTTAGGTGTCGCAAGATCCGAATTCTATTTAGCATATACGAATTGTAAATATCAATAATACTGTATTATGTAAGGTTATATGTATATATACTTTAAGTTTCAATTCAATTTATATTAAATATATGCATTATTTTATACGAATAGTATCTTCTTAATATAGTTTTTCCGCCTCCTCGATTCTTTCAACATTCTGCTGTACTGTACTGTAGTATTTTGACAAATTAAAACGGGTTTACATATATGCATTGAATATGCATGTATAAAGATAATCTTAAACCACTAAGAATTGTTTGTTCACATTAAAAAAAATTGTATATTATATCTTTCAAATTATGATTCTTTATCTTGACTTTAAAACTTGTTTTTTTTTGTTATGTTTTTGTAAACCATGTACGCACGTACGTACCTGCAAATTTTATATATATTTATATTAATACCCTCCCCCTCTATTCATGCATCCTATATATAAGTTTTTACCTTTAATGGCTCTTATTAAAATTATTCTCCGTAAATAATACTCCTTCTTTAAATATTTTGTCTTTCTCCTAGGCTTTCTTATTGTTAGTCTTATTGTTAGGTTCAACATTCTTGTACGTTATGTACATATAATTACATCTACTTGAACATAACCTAGCCGAATATATTCTGACTAATGAATGTAATTGATTTATAAAGTTTATTATTATTTTTATATCTAATATCGATCCAGATTTGTCGAATTTGATTCAATTTGTTTAAATTGATTAAAATATGTATATTTAATTTCAATATGTATTAAATTTTAATGCTTCATGAATTTCAATAATGATATAAATATTTAGTCCGAATAAACGTTCCAAAAATCGGGAATTACTGTGTTTCTGTTACACAATAGTGATAACTATATACTTATGCTAATTCGTGAATTAACTGTAATCAAATTAAAATAATAATAATATTAATTAATTAATAATTAATTTTATCATTATCCTTATCGTTATGTAAATTATATTTAAAATTTCTGTTTTCTATGCTATCATTCAGAAATTTGTTCGTTAAGAAGTGTGTAAATGAGTGACGCTAATAAAAAACTTGCAGCTCATAACAGGTTCTAACTGGTTGATAAGTGTTAAATAACATCGGAAATTCAATAACGATAAGCTGAAACTTAATCGTTGCATAAGGTTTTAATTTCAAGTTTTTTTTTTTTTTTCTGTAGTCATTAATGTAAATGAATAAAGAAATAATGTTACGTTCGTTTCAAATATGGTCTTGAAGAATTAATCTAACTTTGTGACTGGCTGATCATCACGGGAACTATCAATTCACAAAATTCATTGGTTCTTCTAGACATGGCTTTGAATGTAAAAGATCTCGCCATTTTTTGGTTAACAAAGTTTTTACCTTGTTCGTTATATTTTTAATAAATACGTACAACGATTAAAGGTTGGAACAGGTTTTAATAAATCAAATTTATCACATCGACTTATCCAATTAAGTTTTGATAAATTTTGATAAATTATAGAATCTCTCAAAATTGATGTGATAAACTCAAATTATTATAACCTCCAATAACGTAAAAAAAAAAAAAAAATGGTTTAAAATATTCTTTTAATAATAAAATTTGACGAAGATTTCTCGAGAAAGTCTCGGTTAGTATAGTGGTTAGTATCCCCGCCTGTCACGCGGGAGACCGGGGTTCAATTCCCCGACCGAGAGAATCCTCTTTTTTTTTTTTTTATTATTTTATAATTTGTCACATTTATGCATTATTTCTTGATTCTGCAAAGTAATCTTGTATATCCGGGAAAAAAATTTTTAGTCTCATGACATTTAGCTAATTACTTAATTTTTGGTGTATATCCTCTATGTAAAAGAAACCAATTTTTGTTTTTCTATTATACTCTTTGTTTTAATTTTGTAATCATTAAAATGATTAAAAATATGAAGGTTAGTCTAGAAAAATGTCAATTTAGAAAGAAAAATTATTAGTTTATACAGTGTTTATACACGGGTACAAATTTATTAATTTACGAATTTACGTAATATGTAAATTATAAGACAAAAACTATTCTAGTTTAAAGTTTGAGTAAGGTTAGTTCTAGGGTCAAAAATGGTTCGAAGTTATACGTACTAAAATTTTGCAAACTATATATATATATATATATTTTTAAAACCCCAAAAGTTGTTTTATAATCAATATTTTGAAACATCAACATACTCGTATACATACACTAGTATGCAAATAAAAATTATTACGTATTCAACTAATAATTATTTTTATTCTTTTTTTTATATATTGTATTTAATAATTTGGTATTAATATTCAATTATTATAAAACACACCTATGGTATTTTGCACCTATTATATGTTTTTATTCTGTTTTTTAAAATTTCTAAGTTTTTATAAGTTTCGTTATAGAAATTTTTAACTTAAGTTTTTTTTACGTTAGGGTTAATTTTTAGGTTAGTATTAGGGTTTTGAAAGGATTTTCAGAAGTGTAAAACATTTTTGCTTGGAACATCTCGTACTGATTAATTAGCCAGTTTTTGTGATAATTTATACAAAGGTGTAAAACATCATAGGTGCGTTTTAGTAAAATTCTTAATTATTTTACTAATTTTAGAATATATTATAGCTTGTAATAACATAATTAAAAAAATTGTAACTATTCAATATTCAATTATATTTTTATTATTTAACATAATACGTATTTACTTTGTATAATTAGTTATTTTGAAGTTATTTAAATATTAAAAGTATTTTTTTTAATTGTTAATAAAATTTATATTACTTTAGTTAAATCAATTCTTTTTATATTAATATTTTTGTTAAAAATTTAATATAAAAGTTTAATATAATTTACTATATTAAATGTTTTTAATTTTTTTATTTATAAAAAACTACAATTTATTAAAAAATTAGAAAAATGTAATAAAATAAAGGTTATAAAAAAAAAACAAAAAAAATAACATATAAAAAATTTAAAAAACATTACAAAAAAAAACTTATTAACTAAATAAAAATATTTAATTATATAAATTAACAAATCTATTTTTTTAATTTTTATTCTATCTTGTATAACTAAAATAATAAATAAAATCTCAAAATATTGTTATTAATATTTAAGTTAAAATTTTTAGTATTAAATTTTGTATATACTATATTTCAATTTTTTGATATGATTTATAATTAACTTTAAGTTTTAACTTTAAACTATTTTATTTTTAGTAAACTTTTTTAAATTTTTTAAAAAAAGTTATATTTACAAAAAACAAATATCTTATATTTTTTTTTTTTAAGTTAAAGTTCCTATCTTGAGAGTTGTGATGTTTTTATTCAAGTATATTAAGACACGGCATGCCACCAAGGGCTTACCTTACATTGGAGGTTACAACTAGCCATACGTGCACTTTTGGTGCCTAATTTAAGTAGTCTGCTTATACATTACTATATAAGTTCTATACTAGTTGCCATACTTGCAAGTCAGCTAGGGGTTTGCCTATTTAAACCCTCTGCATATGCAGTTCTTTTTGTATCATAGAAACATTTCAAGGCACCATCCATCCAAGTTCCTGATGCTTATCAGTCTTCTTAGGACTACTTTATCCTCGATAAGAAACTTACTAGAACCTTTATGTCCCACATATATAGACCTAGTTTTATGCAACATACTATAGTTACCTAACACTTGCAGTCACAAGAGTTATCTGTTTAACCACTATGCTATACTATTTCTATTCTTGTAAAGTTCACTAGAATCTCAATATCTATCTTTCCAGCATCTTCTTCATCATCCCCTACTAGCTGCAACTCAAAACTATTGGTCTCATTCCAGACTACCAATCCAGATAGCCTAGTATGATATACTTCTGTATTCTTTTCC